AATGCCTTTATTCTGACAGGATATTAACCTAAACGTACCTTAACTTCAATACCTTTGAATACAAAAATTCCTTTATTCTGACAGGATCTTATCCTGAACGTGGCCTAACGTGTCCCTGTATAGATACCTATCAACAACAAATTAGGTCCTCCGCTCCATTAGGTTCTACTCCATGGGTCCGAGATCCGCGAATTCCTAGGATCAGCAGGGATAAGAGTGGACATTGAATGGGTAAAGATTGGAATACTAACCTCGTTGTTCAGAAATATAAAGTACATCTGTATAAAGATGAACGCCATCCTCGTGGCCGGAGTGAGGGCAAGCATGATGTTGTGGCACTTGGTGTTTCGTTCCAGCTCGAAGTACTGGCCGAACTCTAGGCCGGAGTAGATCATCGAGCCGATTCCGAACGCCACAGCACCCATGCGTAGATAGAAACTGCCATAATGCTGGGCCGGTCTGACGGCAGTCACGTGCGGGCAAGCAGCGTCCGCGGCGTCGCTGTCGCCACCGGCGCCGCTCGACGATCGCGACGAGTCCAGGTCGCACACGTCCTTTCGCTTCTCTTCTCATGCAAATTTATGGTAATCGGCCGGTTAAGATTAATGCGATTTTAACGGGGCCGAGCTCGCCGCTTCCGTCGTCGGAAGCGGATTGAAAGCTAGTGCGCGAGCTGCCCGCTTCGCCATTGCTATGCAACGAGACTTAACCCTTTTATACCAGGCTCTCATGGTCTTCTCGTTCGCGGGCGTACGCGTATTTTTCTATTTCTATTCGGCTACGGAGGTTAGGTTAGGTTAGGTGTCTGAGTATTCGTGCATGCGGTTGTATTACGTGCTGTTACGCATTTCCCGTTACGCGTTTTCCACTAATTTCTGATATAATTAACCCCTTGCACTGGGGAGGCGACCCTCGCTCGCTGTAATTCAATAAAATCCCAAAGGTCGATATTAATTTTATTTGATCTATTTTTAAAAATATCGCAGATTTCGTAGCAGAAAGTCCTCCAACTGCTATTTCTCTGTGTCCCTGTGACGGGAAAAATTGCACAGTGCAAGGGGTTGAAATAATAAATAATCAGAGCTGCGTTAACCCCTTGCCTCATTTCTCCAGAAATTTCTTTAGATTTTAGATTTCCCTCGAAATTACTCGATTTAGCTGATACGAGTATGCACGACGAGCCGAGGCTAAAGCTAGAGCTGGACTGGAAGCTACGATCTCTGATACCGGTGTGACTCGATGGTATAAAGCAAGGGGTTAAGAGGTTGGTTAATGGCGAGTAAGGGTGAGGAACAGGTTACGGAAAAAGTAAAAGAACAATGTGTGATTATGTAAGAAACGAAGCGATTTCAGCGAGTTAGCGTGACTACGGTTTTGTGCAGAAAGGAATTACCTACTCGTAAAACAACACGCTGCGGACGTTCCTGAAACGTCAAGTTAAATGTATTCATTCTATCGTGTTCATAGTCGTTGATCGCGAGTGTCGGTAAAATGAGGAAGAAAAAAAAAGAAAGAAAAGAAAAGAAGAAATGGGCAGGAGAAAGAATTTCCCGCGACCAGGACGATCGACTTACTTGACTTCGGCTTGCCATCGCGAAGCAAAGTGGCGTACATGTAGACGAGGAAGATCATGCTGCCGAAGTAGAGGTAAAGGTAGAATCCTTCGTAGAACGACGGCGGTATGTAGGTGGATATTACTTCTGCCATGGGGAAAGCGATTCCCATGACGACCAGCAGCTTTCCGTAGAGAGCGCTAAAAGTCGTGGCCAGGGCGTCGCTGTGCAACAAACGGAAATTGTGCTTGAACGAGAGAGCGGTCGACTCTCGTGCGAGTCCATACGTTCGATTTCTCTCCAGCAGGGAAATTGCGCTATTTCCGGCCCTACCTGTTGTCGCTTTCTTCGACTCGCAGCACCACCACCCCGTGGCCGTCGCCGCCGCCATCGACGTTCATCTTTCGACGTAGCGAGACGTGGCGAGAAGTAACACGTGCGAGTAATTATTTATTTATTCCGGCCGTTCTCTCGCAGGACGTGGCCGGATCGATCGGAACACGCGAGCGAGAAACGAACGTTTGCCGGATGAAAAAGAAACGACGCGGCCCCGGAATGAAGCGTCGGGAAGCGTCAGTGGAGATACCATTGGCCGCAAATACATCCACCCCCGTAAGAATTGGCTCAATTACGGGTAATCGTGTGCTCGACCGTGCGCGTGTGTGTTTGATTCATAAAGTACCGGTAATTGCGGTGCAGACGTCGGTCAGGATAACCCGGAGGATCACGTGAAATTTCCGTGGTGACCGGCATATATGCCCCCCTCTTCGCGTTAATTCGCTCGGGATGGAAATCATTCGAGATGAAATCTTTCGGTCGATCAGTGCGCGCGCGCTAATGGCGCGTTTAAACGTCGAACCGTGAATACGACCCGATTTACTCGCCCATATATCCATCGTTTCTTCCTCGCTCGTGTCCGGCTGCTTTTCTATACGTACACAGAGCGACTCGATCGAAACGCGAACGAAATCACTGCGTTTTTCCTTCGCTTCTATATGCATTCGAGAGATATCGAGTCACCCCGTAGGATGGAACTCGCGACGCAATTTAATTGGAGAGAGATCGAGAGAGGAGCTGAAAAACAGAGGACTCACCATCCGAGCTTCTTCCACTTCCGGTCGTCGGAGACGTCGAGGAAGGCCGGTGCCGGGTAGCATCCCGCTGAAATCGGCTGCGAGGAGCATCGGGCCAGGTCGAACTTTGGCGGCCGGTGAGCGCGGGAGGGTGAGCTGCTGCTGTGTTTGGACAGCGTTTCCGGTGAAACGATTACCGCGGACAGTGAAGCCGGTAGCGTAGCGGACGGCAGCGCAGCCGGCAATCTTGGCCAGCTGAACAGACCGTGTTTCCTCGTTATTTCTACCCTGTCCTTGGCCGATCGATTCGTCGGTATCGACGGCTCGATTACCGGGGATAATTACCGGCTCGGGGGGGCCCGAGCTAGACCGATAAACCGATTCGTCCCGTCGTTCTCCTAATGCGCGCGACTTTAACGTCCTTTTTATCGTCCTCGTCGGAGTGCTCTAACTCGCCGTGATTGCCTACGCGACGTGATACTACGCGTCGTATCGAACGCGCCATTCCCGGATGCTGGTTAGGTTAGGTTAGGTACCGATCGCTCGGAGACACTTGGAATCGGTTCGCAGCGCCGGCATTAGGATCGCGCGAATCCGCATCGATCGATCTTCTCGCGACCCGTGCTAATCCCCGCGTAGCAATTTTCGCCCACGTTCCACGGGAATTTTCCCGGCGCGAAGCAATTTATCCGGAAAGCGTTCAGCGGCCGGGCTTATCGCTCTCGAACGAACTCGCGTTACCGCGGCCTGCCCCCGTAATTCGTTTAAGCTAGTTTCCCCGAGTGCCGGGCCCGTCGGCCTTCGGCTGGAACGGCGCGCGCGTGGCCCGAACTTGGCGAACATGGCGAAACTGGCTGTCGTTACTCGCCGTCAATCGGAACTCGTTAAACTGCGCCCGACAAATGGCCGGAAAAGTTTGCAGGACAGCGGAATTTCCACTCGCGGCCGCCATTGTAAGAACCGCGGCAATACGCTACGAGTATTCGTTACTCGCGGCTGAAAGGCGGCCGCGCGGACAGGGCAAGGAGTAATTAAGCGCGTTGCCGGGGAAAAATATTTCCCCACCGGTTTTCCCCGCGCGGTTCGCTTAATGAAACAGGGATCCGTCGTGTTACGCCACTCTAGTTCCGCTAGTTTCCTCTTTTTCCTCCCTTTCGCCCCCCTTTTCCACCTTTTTCCCTCTTCTCGAGCCGCGAACGCCAGTAATTAAAGAGGGCGTGACTTCTCGCATTTGCTCGATCGCGCTCCCCGTTTTTCACCCCGTTTCCCACCAGCCACGCCGCTGCCCGGTGGAAATTTCGTTTTCCCTTATTATTCGTTAAAAAAGGGGTGAAGGGAAACGAGGACAATTAACGGGTTGGTAACGTTAATAGGATGAATGTCGAGCGGCGTGCGTGCACGGCCGCAGCTCGTAGCTCGGCAACAACGGCTGCCAACTAAAAGTTTCGAGGAATTCAAAGGGGAGCTCCGTAAACGGTCTCGCGCGTCTAATTTAAGGTCAACGTGGTGCCGTAACGTTTGATACACGTCACATTGACACTGGCTGCAGGAAGAGACCTACTATAGAGCGCGGACGGTTTCGCGAGCGTCATTAATCCGACGACTTTCGAACCGGTGGACGTTTATCTAATGATAATCCCTCCTCCGATCCGGTGGTCGGCGAAACACGACCGAGCCCGTTTCTCACACACGTGCCTCGAGAATTCGCCCCCGTTCGCTCCTCCGGAGCCGGAGCGAGTCGCCGGTTACCATGGAATTCGCCGCGACAACTTATCCGCGCCGCGGTCGAACGGCAAGAGGAACGTAAATTATTTTCACCACCGGCGTCGCCGACGTCGCAGCCGCGATATTGCGTCGACGTATCGGGGCGAAATTTCAATTTACCGCAGGCACCGTTCACCCCCGACCACCGAAGGGTGGTGCCACCCGTCGCGAAGAAGAATTTTCTCCATTCCCGAATTCCCGGAGCCACGCGGCAAATTCGCAAATGTTCGCGCCGAACCGACTAATTTCTTCCTCGCCGACTCGATCGACGCCGACTGATCGAGTTAATCTCCAATTCGCGAACGTGAATTTGGCATACGTTCCCTTTCGGAAACGGGTCAATTTCTATTCCCGTATCCGGAGCTCGCCGTTGAGTTCGGGTGCCCTCGGTGACGAGCGAGATCCTCCGAGTCTCGTTTAATATTCCAGTAGACTTGGTGGCACGTATCCAGCGAGGAATTAAGCTCGCGGGATAAACGCGATCGCGAGGCGAGCTCGCTGAAAGGCACCTATCCACGGAAGCTTCGTGCGATCCCTGTCTCTGAATACAAGCGAAATCGGGAGATGGTTGTTCCGCGCGTTTAAGAAGGTAAACGAGGCGCCGCGTAAAGCGACCTACCCCTACGAGGCCGATAGCACGCGTCGAGAGGGACGTGGATAAGTTTCGTCCACGCAGGGGCGATGCGAGGGTAGATGCGCGCGTTTCCACGCAGCGCGAAAGAGAATCGCTAGAGGAAAGAGGTAGTCGACCGTGGAGGAGATACGGCGGATAAGAGAGAGAGAGAGAGAGAGAGAGAAAGAGAAAGGGAGATAGGGGACGGCTGGTCTCTTGGCTTCGAGCTTTTTGAAATAATCACGTAGCGTTGAAGAAGCAGAAGAGCGCGAGAGGGTGTTGCCGGACGAGAGGGAGCCCGTGGAGGGGTGCAAGAGGGCACTGAGGGGTTGATTCAGTGGCTGAGTGCCGTTCCCTCATTGTGGCACGAGTGTATCCGTGGCTCAAGGACTCGGGGCCTGGCTCACCCTTGTTTCGGTGGCTTCGCCACTCCGCCACCCCTTCGGGGTATCCCGAAGGAATCTATTCCGCGTCTTCCTTCTTCCCTCCCTCTGTCCCGCCCTCCGCCCTTCCTCCTCTTTACGTGCTCGGACTCGCGCCGCCGGAGAGACCTCCTTTTAATCGTTTCTCCAGCCAAACTTCCGCCACGTAAATACTCGCTAAACGTTTTCCACCCTTCCACCCTCTTTCCCGCCGGTTTTTGCGTGCAGACAGCGGGGCCACGCGTTTTCGTTTCCTCGATTATCGCGCACTCTCGACCCGCCGGGGATTACGCTTTTGGCGTCCCATCCTGCCCCGGGGGTGAGCCTGGCTCCGTTCGATACGGCGAATCTGTTTCATCTTGGATTTATTCTCGATCGCGTTACCTTCCGTTCCCAAAACGATCGCTGCACCCTGGTCCAGAGGATTTCCCAACGCCCGTTAATCGCCGGTCGATTCGTCGATCCTCGATTTTTCCCGAGCTACCCGAAGCATCCATCGATCAGCCTTACCCGAGGCGAGCGAAATTCCCACCCCGTCCGCGAAACAACTTCCAACTAGACCGTTTCCTAGCGTTCCAACGGCCCCCATCCACCCTCCCTCGCGGGAAAGCATTCGTGGCACACGAGGACGACGTCCTCGTCGCCGTCGTGCCATCGGAAATCGTAGACGGACGCGGTGCGTCGGTGTGCGTGCGCGATTTCAGGATTCCCGACGAGTCGTCTGGGGCGAGAAACGGCGAGAGAAAGAGCGAGAGAGGAGCGACCGGATCGATTCGCGGTCTCGGCAGGGTGGAATCGTACTACCTGAGGGAGGTCTTGATGAGCATATCCGTGACCTTGGCTGGCGGTTTCCTCGACCGTCTCGGCGGAATGTTAGCTGCTGAACTCACCCAGCGGATCGCACAGTCACGGCCCTGCGGCTCGTGTCACGGCACTCTCGGACCCCGCATCACAAACTGAAGCCCTGCACTCTCGCGACTAGCCGCTCTCTCTCGGCTAATCTTCTCTCTCCTTGTCCCTCTTTTTCTCTCCCCATCCTACTCGCCGGCTGTCCATCGTCTCTGGATACGCGGCCGTTTGATAGCGAGCTCGTTACCCGAATGAGATTCGCAGTGGCGTAACGCTCGCGGAAGGACCGAGGTCCGAGATTCTACGCCACGAGGCCATCCATGGACCAGGCATCACCTGGATGGACAGACGCGACCGGTGGGTGACCGGTTCATTTCGTCGTGAAATCAACGTCGCGGAAGCCCGGAGACGAAGGTCGAATGGGAAATCGGGGGTTCGACGGAACCCCTGAACTGGACTGGAATTCGAAAATTTTTTCTCCTACACGGGGGGCACTTTCGCACCCCTGTCTCTCGATCGTTCCTCGGTCGCAAAGAAGAACGGGGGATACTCGGATCGCGAACTTCCGGGAGCCTCGCGCTGTGAAAGAAGCTGCGAAAAGAAGAGGATGGAGGAGAGGAAGGGGAGACGGTTTCCTTCGCTGCTGCTCCCTCCTCACCCCTGCGTGGGTTTGCTTCAAAGGATTCGGGCGTCGAGTGCGCGTGTACCCTGATGAAATCTGCATGTAAATCGACGGAATAGGCCAGTCTTCCTGCTCTCGTTCGGGGCGAAGGAGAGGACGGTCCACCGGGGGTTCCGGTGAAACGGGAAAGGAGAGAGCTGGTCGCGTGGTGCGAGAGGGAGAAAAAGGGACGAGCTGCGGAGCGCGAAGGGGGACTGGGGGAGCTGTTGGATGAGAGGAGAGGAGAGACAGTCGGGAGAGGGAAGCGAGATAGAGGCGGCACGAAGGTCGTCCGTTGGCCATAACGAAGCGACAGGTCAATATTATCTTCGACGGCGCTGGCCACTCGTGCGTTCGCGAATTCGCGTTCGATATCCGGCGGAAGTAATCGAGTTGGGTGCGAAATGGAGGCGGTGGAGGCTGGCCACGGATCGGGTGCCCTGGGTCGATGGAAATTGCCGTAGCAGCGGCGATTAATCGGCCGATTCGTCGCGTCGAGGAACGAGCAAACAATGGATTCGCGTTTCGGATGATAGAAGCGGAAATCGCGAAACGATTGGCGTGACACCGCGATTAACGTCGGCGGAGAAGCACGCCTAGTCCATCGCGATACGCGTCTCTTCTCGTTCCTTTGCGCGTTAAATCCGAGAGAAGAGGCAATTTCGCGGATCGGGGTCAGTGTTTCGCTTGGGTCGAAGCTTCGTTTCGTTTGCGATTCGCCCCTTTTTCGTACGGTCGACCACGAGTTTGGTCCTGACCACGCTCCGGGAACCAGTTCGCGACGGCACTTCCGGTCGGCCGAGAACTCGAGTAGGAATTGATGGAGCGAAACGGAGATCCTCGCGATACTATTTTTCACGATCAAGTTCAATCGTCGACGATGTACAAACCGCTGCCAGACGCTTCCCTGCTGGATACAAGGGAGCAGAGGGATGCGCGTTAATCGTGGACAGTGACTAATGTTCCATGGCTGTGAATAGTGGCGGTGGTCATTCGAATGAAGAGACAAGCAGGAACGTGGCCGTTTAGGGGGAACGGTAATTCACGTCGTGACGTTACGTACGGACCTGCAAAGCGAGAAATAACGAACGAGTACGCGAAGGGATTCGTCTAAAAGCGAGTTTCGTCTAAAAGCTTCCAAGATCTTGTAAACGAACGGGGATCTGGACCTAGGAAGAATCTCTGTTTAACCCTGAGACGCTCGAGGGCTTCCAAGCTTCGAATAAATCGGCTTATGGAGGGTCATTTTGCGTCCTAAACCTGTTACCCCCTCATCTGAATATTCTTTTATTAGAAAAATAAAGCATCCAAGACATTCCCCTTTATTTCTTCGCTATTTAGATATCATGCACGTAAATAACTGTACGATATTAATTTCTCTTTCGATACCACGTTGTAAATTTTGTTCCATGTCCTCATCACTGAGCATGAGAATGGCCAAGAATGTGAATAAATAAATATTCGAACTCCATACATATTTCAAGGAAATACTATAAATGAAAAATTCGGATTTTAATGGAAGTATATGCGTATGCAAAGCACAACGAGTTACACATGGATCAATTTATAGTCATTAATTCTTGTTATATAATTTTTAACCCTTTGCACTCGACGATTTTTTGGCTAGAGAAGAGTAGAACTTCAATGATTCTGTACTACAAAATTGACGATACTCTTTTGAGCAGTAAATAAAGAATTATATAATAGCAGAATTGTAAAATTATTTGATTTCGATACCTCGCACACTGTTACATTATATTAAATTTGATATATTAATTAATATCGATCTTCCAAATTTTATGAAACGATGGCTGAAGCTTACGTCTCGAGAGTAAAGGGTTAATATTTATCAATTTATATTATATTGTATATAATATTTATTCGCAGATGTTACTTCACGATCTTTGTGAGGGTGAAATCATTGTTCAAAGATGCAGTCCAATCTCTGTTTTTATTTTCAATATAATTGTACAATGGCACCCTGTGAAATTTCATTTAAAAAACCAAAGAATTGTCAAAAGTTTAATCGTTGATTTCACCCCCTCAGAGTCATTTTCTACGGAAAGAAAAATGACTTCCTCTGTAACTCGTTATACTTCAGATGCACACAAACCTCTATTAAAATCAGAATTTTTGGATCAGAAAATTCTTTGAGAAACGTTCGAATAATTTCTGGAGCTACTGTCTATCTAACTTAACCCTTTACACTCGATAGGCCACCTTCAGTCACCATTTCATAAAATTTGGAAGATTAATTAATATATCAAATTTAATATAATATAACAGTGTGCGAGGTATCGAAACCAAATAATTCTACAATTCTATTATTATTCAATTCTTTCTTTACTGCTCAAAAAAGTATCGTCAGTTTTTTAGTAGAGAATCTTTGAATTTCTACTCTTCTCTAGCCAAAAAATCGTCGAGTGCAAAGGGTTAATCGTTGATATTGATCAAGTATGATCATTTCCTGACACAAAACCAGGTGATCGACCATCTGCTCGAATCTTTTCTTAAGAAACTTCGTATTTCCAAGATATTGGACACTTTTGACCCTCCCTAAAGCGTCATAGGATTCAGAAACGGCGCTGTTCTCTCGGCTGGAGCCGGTCGAATCGTCGAAGACGAATCTCAATTCGGACTTCCTGCTAGCGATAGGTGGTCGCGTCATCGCGTTAATATTATCATCGGTTGTCACGCTCGTCGCCGTTTCTTTACGAGTTCCCGCAATGAGGCTGTACCTCGCGAGTTTGCACACGCGTAGGAAATATTTTCCCTCGCGTTCCTCGCGCTTTGTTCACCGGGACGCCGTCACTCTGTGTACCTACTTAACCGACCACGTTTTCTTCCCCTTTTCCCCCTTCTTTTTCACTCGAGCGTCTGAGAAAATCTGCGGGGAGGTCGTCTGAGCGAGACGTATGGGGAATCGTTAATGGGCGGGAATATCGCCGGCAAGGAACGCGGAGGCGGAAGACGCTTAACAGTAGGGGCTGGCGTTAATCGTCGCCCGGTCATTCCTCGCGGTTTCTTTCCGACCATCTTCCCGTTCAAGATGTTTTCATACTGCGTTTTAACGACGTCCCGACGTCGTCTGAATATTGCTCGAAACGCGCGCGAGTACCGACGTCGCTTCTGTGGATGATGGAAGAAAAGAGAGTGGATAAAATCGCATAAACGACCGCGAATATGCAGTCGAATTTTGACAACTCGAAGCTTGATAACTTGAAAGAAGAGCTAAAATCTTGGAGACGTATATAGAGACTTGGAGTAAGCGAGATTTTTGGGTACACTAGGATTAAAAATCGAAAATTCGATGTGAGTGGAAGGTTTCTTTGGGGTACTAAGCTTGTGACGACAGAAGGTATCGTGATTGGAGGAATTATGACACGATGAAATAAAATAATATTAAATATACATGGTACAAATGGAGGTTTTCAAATTTTTAATTAGAAATTTTTGCATTGAATTTTGTTGCTTTAGTCACTTGTCTTTTTGCGATTTTCCTTTTGATATGCGTTGGCTACTGTTGTGACGCAATGGTAGATCTAGTAGTAATTGATCTACGCGTTAGAACCAATTTTTTGATACCTCCTCGTGTTCCATTTGTGTTTAAATTTTCCTTATTTCATTTCTTCTGGGTACACAAGGATTAAAAATCAAAAATTCGATGTGAGTGAAAGGTTTCTTTGGGTAGTAAGCTTGTGACGACAGAAGGTATCGTGATTGGAGGAATTATGACACGATGAAATAAAATAATATTAAATATACATGGTACAAATGGAGGTTTTCAAATTTTTAATTAGAAATTTTTGCATTGAATTTTGTTGCTTTAGTCACTTGTCTTTTTGCGATTTTCCTTTTGATATGCGTTGACTACTGTTGTGACGCAATGGTAGATCTAGTAGTAATTGATCTACGCGTTAGAACCAATTTTTTGATACCTCCTCGTGTTCCATTTGTGTTTAAATTTTCCTTATTTCATTTCTTCTGGGTACACAAGGATTAAAAATCAAAAATTCGATGTGAGTGGAAGGTTTCTTTGGGTACTAAGCTTGTGACGACAGAAGGTATCGTGATTGGAGGAATTATGACACGATGAAATAAAATAATATTAAATATACATGGTACAAATGGAGGTTTTCAAATTTTTAATTAGAAATTTTTGCATTGAATTTTGTTGCTTTAGTCACTTGTCTTTTTGCGATTTTCCTTTTGATATGCGTTGGCTACTGTTGTGACGCAATGGTAGATCTAGTAGTAATTGATCTACGCGTTAGAACCAACTTTTTGATACCTCCTCGTGTTCCATTTGTGTTTAAATTTTCCTTATTTCATTTCTTCTGGGTACACTAGGATTAAAAATCAAAAATTCGATGTGAGTGGAAGGTTTCTTTGGGTACTAAGCTTGTGACGACAGAAGGTATCGTGATTGGAGG